AACTGTAGCTTCCACTCAATGCGGGCACCATTATTTATTGAAAAGCTGAAACCTTTTTAAGTGATATTCTCCAGTACAACAGCAGGTGGTATATCTTCTTCAGGGAAGCGCTGTGTATGTGTGTTGCTTGTCAAGGTGAATTAGGATGGGTGAAGCACAAGGCTTTTTACATGGATGCTTTGAATGGCAAGATGAGGACTTCATGTAATATGTAGGGCCTAATCTAAAGCTCTATCATTCGTAATTTCCTAAATGGCGTGGATGCTTTGATAGCTGTTGTTTTATGCTCATCTGTCCTCTCTCATCGCATCCATTTCCATTCTCTTGTAGGATTCTGCTCTACTTTCGGTTGAATGTGTTACAAAAATGTTCTGGCATCAATGCAAGTTGAGTTTAACTAGATTTGCCAATATTTTACAAAAAAACAAATCATTAATTAATAACAATAATAATTATTATAGCAATAATATAACGGAAGAAAACTAATGGTAAATTCAATTCAATTCATCTTTATATGTATAGCACTTTTAGGATGGAGATTGTGTCAAAGCAGCTTCACATAGAAGACTATAGTGAATTGAAACAGTGTCAGTTCAGTTTTCAGAGTTTAAGTTCAGTTTGGTTCAGTTCAGTGTGGTTAAATATTCACTGCTGAGGGTCCAAACACTGAAGAGTAATCCATCGATGTGCAAATAATAATTGCATCCAAAATAAACGTTTGTTTTGACAAGATATGTGTGTCTGTGAATACCTGTTTATACAGTGGTTAGTCAAACTGAAACACTGGCCAATTTAGTGTTGGTGGGTTCATGGATAATTCGAGCAGCCTGGTGGCCAATCTTTATTGATTGCACATTCCACAACTAGTTTTGCTTAAAATATGGCAATGCACACAACATTATAGGTGACAGATAAACGTTCAAAAGAGGACAAACTGATGAATTGCGTACTGCTGGTGCACCTGTGACCAAGTCTTTCTGATGTATCAAGAACCAAGGTATCTAAAGTACTGTAAGCAAACAACCAAGAAGAATGAACCACATCCAACAGGAGCAACTGTGGACGCAAGAGGAAGCTGTCTGAATGAGATGACCGGATCAACTCGTTATCCAAAAAAACATAAAACCACAGCTGGCTAGCTCACTGCAGAATTAAATACCTCAACTCTTCTGTTTCCACAAAAAAAGGAGAGTTGGGAGCTCCATGTTCAGTATACATGGACGGGCTGCTATCGCTTAGGCAAATGCCAAACATCAGTTTTAATGGTGCCAGCATAAAATCTTGAGCCGTGTGAAACATGTATTTCTCTCTGATGAGTCTGTCTTCACTATCTTTTCCACATTTGGGAGAGTTACCATGTTGAGAAGACCAAAAGAAGCATACCACTCAGACCGTTGCATCCCCAGAGTGAAGTATGGGGGTGGATTAGTCATGGTGTGGCTGCAATATCACGGCATTCCCAAAGCCAAATACTTGTGCTAGATGGACACGTCACTGCAAAGGACCATTCTGAAGGACCATGTCCACCCAATGATTCAAACATTGTATCCTGAAGCCAGCACGTATCAGGATTATAATGCACAAATCCACTTGTTAAGCCATGACGTATGGAATACTGTTCACAGGTCCAAGCCGCTACTCATTTAAATAGAGAAATTATTCGTTTATGGACACTTTTTAGTCATATCACACATTAAAGGGAATTTTATATAAAATCATGATGTACACAAAAGTCAATATATATATGTGTGTGTGTGTGTGTGTGTGTGTGTGTGTGTGTGTGTGTGTGTGTGTGTGTGTGTGTGTGTGTGTGTATATATATATATATATATATATATATATATATATATATTGCAATCATGAATTTCGAAAGTATTACATCACTTTGTAACCGTTTAGTTTTACCATTTGTTGAGTCTGCCCATACAGTTTGAACAGCTTGGACCCGGAAGCCGCTTCACATGAAATCACATTTAACAAGCAGATACAGCAAATGGTTTAATGAGTGATTTAATGAGCATAAAAGTTAAATTCCCATTATCTCAACATCTCCCATGGCCTGCACAGTCACCAGATTTAAATATTATTGAGCCACTTCATGGGGTTTTGGAGGAGTGAGTCAGGAAACATTTTCCTTTACCAGCATCACGTAGTGACTTGGCCATTATTTTGAAAGAAGAATGGCTCAAAATCTCTCCCTATATATAAACAAAACTCATGAATTTTGTGAATATATATTTATATATAATCTATATTAAATACATTTATATTTTACATATGAATAAACACTTTCTCAAACACATGCAAGAATGTCCGTATAGCACAAAAAAAAAGAAGTCCAAAGACATGCGGTAGAGGTGAATTGGTTAGGATAAACTGTCTGTAGTGTATGAGTCTGAATGAGTGTGTATGGATGCTTCCCAGAGATGGGTTGCAGCTGAAACGTATCCGCTGTGTAAAACATATGCTGGATAAGTTGGCGGTTCATTCCGCTGTGGGGACCCCGGTTTAATAAAGGGACTAGGCCGAAAAGAAAATGAATGAATGAATATATATATATATATATATATATATTTCAGAGTAAAAATCAATTCAATTAAAAAAAAACATACTGGATACAAGTAATTTATATTTAGATTATAAAATGATATATGACCACACAAAGAAACTAAATTACAGAGTATGTCAACATTCGTTCATTAAAGCTATTGCAAATTCATTACAGTATCTACACTTTTCCATCTATGCTGTTAAAAAAAAGGCTTGGAATAACTAAAGATTTTTAAAAATCTACTTAAAAGTTGCTCTATGTAACAACTATCAATAAAACACATATAAGTGAAAAGCAATAAACCACAATAGGCTCATAGAAGATGATGAAAATTGATCCAGTGTTGGGAATAAAAGGATTCATTTCAAAGAGATGCAATAAAATCGCAGTTAAGAATCGCTGTCTAGCAGCAGAGCAACCCTCCTGATCCTGAGTGATTAAAAACTAGTCTGTGACCCCAACCTTTGACCTCTAGCCCCAAACCCACTCCATCTTGTACCAGAGATAATAATTAGAAAATTTGTGCAGACGGTACCATATCCGGCTGGATTCTATTTTGGGATGAGAAGGAAGTGCAAGCACAAGAAAATGAATGCGTTAACCTCTTCTATTTCTAAATGCATACTCTGCCACTTCCTGTCAATGACGAAAACACTTCCTGTGCAAGGATGGAATGTCCAGATTAACCACACAATAGATAAGAGACCATGAAGTGCTTCACGACATTTCTCTGCTTTCTAAATAAGTGAAAAAAAGAAATCTTCCACTTTCCTAAAACTAATGTATCCCCCAACAACAATCCATGTCCTTTAACTGGGGGTAAACAGCCACCTTTTCCACCGTTTCTCCCCCACAATAAAATTACATTTGCATTAGCTTTGAAAGAATTTCGTCTGGATGATTTATTGAAGTAATCAGCAGCAACGCAGCCCTTTCGCGGCAGCAGAGGGTTTGCGACACTCCGCCACTGGAACAAGGTTTGGGCCGGAGGCTTTTTTTCAGTGGAGGCAGGCAGAACCCAAATTCTCCCCTTTGATTAGATTAGCATTACACAACAGCATGACAGATATGACAAATAGGTGCATTAGAGCATGTCATTTATTCCCTGTTTCCTAGTTGCTTGGGTTCACAGAGGGACCCCCACTTCACGCCTCACTTCTGCATATATATGTGGCACTAACGCCCCTTCTGATGCCCACTCTTTCTAGGGACTGCCTTTTAGGAAGATGAGAAGTGCTTTATTTTAAATCAAAGCACTAAAAAAAGAGACAATGAAAGCCTCTAAACACCAGAGTTATTTGGTACCTTTTTCATGGATGGCTAATACTGAATAACTCGGCAAACAAAATGATTTTCACAGAAAATCAGCAGTAGCCCCGACTTAATGTGTGACGTGACAGAATATCACACACTTCAGTGACTCTCCTCCTCAAAGGGCACCCTATGGCTACTTCCATTAGCCCCCATTACACACGTTCAGTCGGGTGCATATGCACACATGCTCACTCTTTCAATGCACACACTATTCTACATTCACACCACTTGTTCCCTCTAATAATAAGCATTAATTACATAGATCAGGACATACACCTTATTTCAATATTAATTAGCTATTTTTGCCAGAGACTTCGCTTTACAAAACTAATTATAATCCTAACCAATTTAAATCCTCTATTACACAGCACTCTGGAATACTGGATTCTGATTGGTCAATTATGCTATCCCAATATGTTATTCTAAAAAAAAAAACAAAAAAAAAACATTGTAAACTAAAATGTACTGCAAATCATCTTGACCATTGGTGTTTTTATATAATATAATATAATATAATATAATATAATATAATATAATATAATATAATATAATATAATATAATATAATATAATATAATATAATATAATATTATATAATATAATATAATATAAATAATATAATATAATATAATATAATATAATATAATATAATATAATAATATAATATAATATAATATAATATAATATAATATAATATAATATAATATAATATAATATAATATAATATAATATAAACCGAGAGAGACAGAAGGAGACAGAGAGAGAGAGCTCTGCTATGAAACCTTTATTCGATTCCTACCTGCTTTAAATACTCTGGAAAACCCAATGGAGAAGCCAATGGAGAAGCCGATCGATCGCAAAATGCTATCAATGTTGCATTACCCTCTGTGACTGCCTATATGGCCAAGGCCGTTACACTGGGTCGAGACCCCTGACCTTTGAACTCATTTCAACAGCATTAAGAAGGGCTCCCTGGCTATTTTTCTGGACTTTTGTCTATATTCAGAGCTTAGTAAGACAGGAATCGGGCTTGCAATGTGAAGATAACACCTGCAACTATAAATTTAATAACCGTAAAGCAAGACAAGAGAAAAGAGGAAAGGAATAAGTGATGGAGAGACGGAGGAATGACTGACCTGAGAGCAGAGCAGCATGACCAGTTCAACCACAGAACTGCTGGACTTCATACACACAAGACCTGTAGAGAAAAACATATTTCATCTCAGATTTAGTCAACAAAAACAACTTTATATGTAACACAATCTTACATTATTGTTTGTTGAAATAAGCCTAATGTTTAATATTTCATTGATTCCAGAGTCATCCTAAGGTGGTTTATCTGTGATGGATCATGCTTATAAATCAGCTGCTTACAAATAAATGCATGGATATTAAATTAAGAATTTAATTTATTAGTTTGTTTTTAAAAAGAAATGGACAGAACACCAGTTTCCAAGATGAGCAGTTATACACTGTTGTCATGGCCAAAAGTTAAAGGGAACCTATGATGAAAATAAACTTTTGTAAGCTGTTTGGACAGAACTATCTGTATGTATAGTGTGTCCACTGTCATATTGGAGTGATAGAAACTCAGCAAGTCTCTTTTTTGAAATTTCCTGACATTAAAATAGGATCCAAATCCCAGTGATTTTGAGGCCCACTGCAACTTGACAGGAGTTTGGTTCTCCCCGCCCACCGAAATTGATTGGCAGGTGCCATGTCTCCATAATAACATGCATACACGTTCACAGAACAGGTTTTGCAAAGAAACTGGGGTTAAAACATGTTACAACTCTATGTGATCAGCTGCACCTCAATAATTAATAAGTTTAAAGTGTTTTTAAAACATTGCATGTTTGTAATAAAGACAGCAAAATCACCATGCTATTCTACACTATTAATCTTAATTCTTAACTATTAATATTCTTAATCTATAAATCACCACATCCAGATGGTGTCAGTAAATGCTAATATGTGTGTGTACTGCAAACGACATTTGCGTGGGACTTATCATTTCAGACAGACTTGAATAAACTCCACCACAAATAACTTACATCAAATAAACTTACTAGATATTTTTGACTAGTGCCCTTATTTCAGCTTCATCAGTGTCTGTCTCTATGAGTGATGGTTGTTTATCTGACGCAATGCAGGAGAAGCAGACACGCACGTCGGAGGAGTGGGGAGAAGCAGCTCGTTTGGATTTAAAGCAACGGGCTACAAGAACAGCTACATTATTCTCAGACACCAAAATGGGCAGATTCTACATTATATAATAAATAACCTGATAGGTACTTTGAGAAAAAACATCATTGATGGCTAGATTTTGCAACTGACCAAACATAGCCAGTGTACTTTACTTTTGCTTAGACCCATTTGGATTTCTAAAAAAAACAAGACACTTCAGCATCTACTAAAAAAAAAAAATAATAATAAATAAATAAATAAAAAACACAACAGTTGTGACATTTTACTTTGTACTGGTGCTCTATTCGCACAAGCATTTTCATTTCATATTTTGTTCAATGAGATTTAGGATTTAAAAATTTTGAATTAGGCTGCACGGTGGTTCAGTGGGTAGCACAATCGCCTCACAGCATGAAGGTCACTGGTCCGAGCCTCGGCTGGGTCAGTTGGCATTTCTGTGTGGAGTTTGTTCTCCCCGTGTTTGCGTGGGTTTCCTCCGGGTGCTCCGGTTTCCCCCACAAGTCCAAAAACATGTGGTGTAGGTGAATTGGGTAAGCTGAATTGTCTGTAGTGTGTGTGTGTGTGTGTGTGAATAAATGTGTATGGATGTTTCCCAGTGATGGGTTGCAGCTGAAAGGGCATTCGCTGCGTAAAACGTATGCTGGATAAGTTGGTGGTTCATTCTGCTGTGGCGACCCCAGATTAATAAATGGATTAAGCTGAAAAGAAATTGAATGAATGAAATTTTAAATTAAGTAGTACTGGAAAGAGGCAGGAGGGGTTATGCTAATAAATAATGTTCATTTTCCTTGCAGTGACTATTTTGCTGACACCTGAACACTTGTGAGTGTCCTAACTCTGCAGCATCTTGAGGGGTCAAAGAGTATAGATGACCATAATGAACCTACATGATGCTACTGTAAACTAATACGCTTCAGCCGTGTATTACACGAGACTAAATATGGTGAGCATATGTTCTATTGATCTGACAGAATGACAGCTCTAAAGAACTACATGCGCAGAAAAAAACAGATTTAACATGAAAGCTATAGGTGAGAACATACAGGAAACTAGAGGAAGGGGATGAGAAAAGGAAGGAAGGAAGCGTTTTTGTATTAAGTGGCTCTCTACAGTCGCCCTGCAGCTATTAATCAGGGCTTCATTTCTCTGGGCGGTCCAAACACTCATATGTGTGTGCTGACCTCTGACCCTGTGCTCTATAAAAGAACACTGGCATTATAATCAGTAAGTTAAAAGACACTTTTAGCCACATTTACAGCTTAAATCTGGTTAGTGATGAGAAAGGTGCTGTAAGTGCTTCTGCAATGTAGTAGATTTTTGAGTGGAATATTCCACAAAGGACAGTAATAAAAGTATGAGTATATAAGACTAATATCTTGTGCTGTCGAATGAATAACGGCATCCAAAATAAAAGTTCATATTTTCAAGATATTTTTGTGTATAGTGTGTATATTTTTGTGTATATAAATATATCCATGACTATATTGCATAAAATATATATTAATATTTGTATTTATAAAATATTTATAAAAGTACTGGGCAAAGGTTCATGCGATTAATTGCATCCAAAATTAAGGTTTGTTTTAATATAATATAAACTCACCAGAAACTTTATTAGGCACACCTGTCCAACTGCTTGTTAACGCAAATTTCTAATCAGCCAATCACATGGCAGCAACTACATACATTTAGGTATGTAGACTTGGTAAAGACAATCTCTGCAGTTCAAACAGAGCATCAGAATGGGGAAGAAAGGTGATTTAAGTGACTTTGAATGTGGTCTGAAAAAGAGAAAATATCCAGTGGGCGCAAATGCCTTATTGATGCCAGAAGTCAGAGGAGAATGGCCAGACTGGTTGAAGCTGATAGAATGGCAACAGGAGCTCAAATAACCACTTGTTACAACTGGGGAATAGCATCTCTGAACGCACAACACTTCCAACCTTGAGGCGAATGGGCTACAGCAGCAGAAGACCACACAGGGAGATTCGCATCATGGATGTGCATAACCCTGTTGAATCTATGCCACCTAATAAAGTGGCCGGTGAGTGTATATGTGTGTACTGTGTATATTTATTATATGCATATAAATACACCGATGCATGCATATATTTAAGAAAATCTTTATTTATATTTAGATATGTAAAAAAAAAAAAAAAATATATATATATATATATATATATATATATATATATATATATATATATATATATATATATATATATATATGATAAAAATTCTATATAAATTAAAAATAAATTTGATATTTTTCTTTTTAGGTATATGTGTGTATTACATATCAATAATAATAATAATAATAATAATAATAATAATAATATATGTGTGTGTATATTGTATATATATATATATATATACAATACACACACACATATATTATGTCAAAAACGTTTATTTTAGATGCGATTAATTGTTGCCCAGCATTAATTTACAGAGAACATAAATTATATATTAATATAAATATATACAAAAATATATTAATTTTGCAAGTTTTGGGCATTTTATGCAATGTATTATCCATATAATACGTTTATGTATTTGTACTAGATGTGATTAACTTATTGATAGCATTAGTAATAACAGTAGCTCACTGGTGCCTTCGATGAGTAGCTCCTGCCCATGACTGCCCAGAAGTGTGCGAGAGAGGAACGGTGCAAAATCCACAAAAATCTCTCTGAGTAAAGGAGCTGCTTTCTCCAGTGCATGTTCCAACCTCTCAGAGATACTAAAAACAAACCCAAACATACAGTTTTTAAATAACTCATGGACACTTTAAACATTTAGAATAATGAATTTGACTGTGAAATAACACATAAAAAATTGTTTGTAAAGATTAAAAAATAAACATAGGTTGTTGATAAGACAGCAAGAGATGTAATGTTGAAGAAGAAACCTCATGTTGGGGGTGGAGGTCTGGGTCATTGGGGATAATGCAGGGACAGATGGCAGGTTGGAGCTGGTGGAGGTTCCTCCTGCAGAGAATACAAGAAAGCAACTCATCATTACCCAAATACATGCCCGATAAACATACAATACAATAGGGGTTTTCAAAATGTGACACAAGCCTCCAAAAAGGGAAGGGTTGTGTGGGCGAATTGAAAGATGTTAATTGATGTCCATTAAAACTTTTTCACTATAGTTTGTGTGTAAATATAACGTACAGAAGGTGTAGCGCAGGGCTAGTTTCACATGAACAGATAAGAAACATGGATGAACGTGAAGAAAGAGAATTTGGCTGATGAAGAGAATAAACAAAAAAAACGTGCTAAATCTGGTAATGACAAATGCTTTATGTGGCACATGTACCTGTGCCTGAAGCAAGATAGTCACATTGTATTGACAAATACTGTACATGCTTATGTGCAAAATTGACTCTACAAGTGTTGACATAAACGTAGTCAGTTATGCCAAAAGTTAAAACAGATTGAGAAATCCTAGGGTGCATGTCCACCAAATAGTTTTTTTTTTTTTTTTACAGAGCTAAGTTTTTTCCCCTTTCCTATCAATGACGCCACCATATTTTAGTACTGCATTTTTTTCTGCTCCAACAGTTGGAGATGTGCTCACAGCTGAGCATTTTGGAACAATGGTGGCGTTTTAGCTGCAAAAAAAAAAAAAGCTTTAGTAGACACGCGTCCCTAAAGTGACAGCAGCCTAATGCACCATCTATGTCTTAAATATTAATCAAAGAAAAAAAAAAACTAGATGGGTTTTAAAATTATAATTATTGTAATTTAGTAATTTATGAGTACAATGAAAACAATTAAGCTTCAAATCAGTTTATTTAACAAAGAAACGTAAAAAAAGTAATGGTTTCCATAATCAAAAATAATAATAAATAGAATTCTTATTATCATTATTACTAAAAGAAAAAAAATCTTGTCTGAGCCCCAAATAATGTGATGCTGAAAATTAAGGTACAGTTGAAGTCAGAATTATTATAGGCAAGTTTGTGTATAATTATGGTTTGTTCTGTAACCATAAACATAAATATCTTAAAGGGGATAATAATTTTCTCATTAAAATGTGTAATAAAAATTAAATTAACTGCTTTTATTCTAGCCGAAATAAAACAAAAAAAATACTTTTTCCAGAGGAAAAAATATTATCAGACATACTGTGAAAATTTCCTTGCCCCGTTGTTTGGGAATTTATAATTTGGGAAATATTTAAAAAAGAAAAGAAAAAAATTCAAAGGGGGTGAATAATTCTGACTTCAACTGTGTATGTTGCTAAATAATCAACTGCTAAAATGCCAGAAATTTCTAGTTTTTGTAATATCTGCATGGCAGTGTACTTTTACAGGGGCTGGGGGATTAATTGCAATGAAATCAAAATTGTAAATCTTGTCAGGAAAGCAGCAAGTTAGGATCGGCAGTAAATGTCTGTAGTCAGATGGCATTTTGTCATGTAAACACCAAATACTTCTCAAAAAAATAAAAATAAAATAAAACAGCAATATAAACTGCTTTCACTGATTGGGATTAACTCATTATAACACTACAAAATCATCTTATGGAAGGATTCGCTTCAAAGACCATTAACTGGAAGTAATAAGTGAGTTTAAGGTATAAAAAAAAAAAAAAAACGTGCTGTAGCTTTTTCATTTGAAGCATTTACTACACAAAGTTACAGTTCAGAAAAGCTATGCAAGGAGTGGACATTATAAAAGCATGATTTTTTCTATGTCACTATAATCCTATTAACCCTATTACGATTTTGGATGCAATTATGCATTAGGTAGTCTGTGTAGAAAACTGACAGCTCAGTGTAGAAAATACTGCTTTATCTGAAAGCACATGCTTAAGGTTTACAACAGCTTTACTGAAGAAAATATTTTGAAGAATGCTGACTGCTGCAATGTCTCCTTTTGTGTTCAACAGAAGAAACTCAATTTTCTTGTAGATTTGTGAAGTAATTTATGACAGAATTTACATTTTTGCATGAACTATCCCTTTAAGTTCTAGACAATAAAAGATTGTGAAGATATACGTATTGACACTAAAAGGAACAAAGACACTAAGGCCCAATCCCAATTCTACCCCTTAGCCCTTCCCCTTTCTCCTACCCCTCGTTGTGCACGTTCACGTGAAGGTGTAGGGGTGTCCCAATTCTCTTTATCTTCTAGACGTAGGGCTAAAGAGAAGGGCTAGATAGCCCTCAAAAGAGAGATTTTTCAGGATCACACCAGGAAAGGGTTAAGAAAATTTCCTATAAAATACATCAGCCACAACGGCCGCATAGCTGTACCCAGAATTAAGGAGATCCACAAATTAGTATTTTTACTCATTATTACGAATTTTTACGACAAACAAACATATGATTTAACACATTCAAAACTGCGTTCGTGTTTTACCATCATGCTTAAAATAAAAAAATGCTACATTTCGCTATCTACAATCCATAATAATAACTCCTTTACAGCAGTCCCAAAACATACTGTTACTCGCTGAGACTCAACTACCCTGTCAGAAATGGCCTTTTAACAGTGTCTAGTATAATGTTAATTTAGTTTTTGTGTGTTTACATTGATGAATATGGCCCTTGTGTAAATGCACAGTACAATAATGAGCTTATTGCCACATTATATTGTTATGATAACATGATATATGTCTTCAGCGATTTCCTGAAGATAAATACCAAAAAAATAACACAACTGATACAAATACAGCAGTCGCCATCGTCCATCTTATATGAAGCTTACATGGACATCAGTAACCAAATTATTGCCTTAATCTGAATAAGACAATAATATGATAAAGGTGTTTTTGAATGTTCTGTTCATGATTTCATTTTACAGTTTAGCACATAGTTTGATTAACGTCATTGCGTCACCACGCTATCTACATTTTCGCCGGAGTTTCATGTAATTTCTGGTCTTAAATTTTTAAGTCTTCGACTTTAACTGCAGTTAGGCACTTTCACTTCAGGAACATTTCCTGCATGCCCCCCTTGACATATGATATTGGATGCGAGGAACTGCTGAAAGACGGTTGTTTTAATGGAATTTGATATCACACACTCTATGGGGAAAAAACCTCTGCAATTCACAATGTGTTTCTGTAGCGCTTAGAAGTGTCAAACAGCCATGTGTCACAAAATGCGGTGAAAATCCTACAAGACGGTAATAGTTTGATTGCGGTGTTTTCATGTCTGTACTGCACTTCAAATTTGTGACTAAAATTGGCAACACTACATGTCTTAATCTGATTTCTCTTGAGAGACTTAACTGGATTAAAAGAATCCGAAATTGCTGTTTACATGGTAGACTCAATCAGTATTGTATTAATCATATTAAATTAAATTACTGGTGTCGATGCAAATAAACTCATTGATTTTTTGCATTGTTCCTTGTTTTCAATGGGTCAGAAAAAAGCTATTATAAAAATATCACCCAGTTCTACTAATAACCAAGTGAAACCCCTCTTGCTTGTCATCTAACTCCCTTCTAACGAACAAAAGTGCAAATGCGCATTGAACCCCAGACACTAAGTGAAAGGATCTGAATGATAGCTCTGGCTCTGTTAGCATTCATGTAAAATAACCATTAGAGCGGCTCTTACACTCCCCCTGATAAAACAGCCCATAAATTCATTAGCTGTACGTGGCTGTGATTAGTGTACGAATAATTATACAGCAATAAATTTCCTCATGCTCCTGTAAATGTCACATTTTGGGTTAGTGAAGGTCTTGGCACGACCACGCTCTCTCTCTCACAGGATATCTCACCACAATAAATCTGCATACACTAATATCTCTCCAAACACACACACACAACACAGACATGGGTCTCAGGGCAGGGATAACTCTAGCAGGATGACAGGCAGCAGTGTGGAATGTGGGGACAGCGGCTCTTTAAGCACCAACATGTGCGTCTGTGGAGAGACTCCTGCTCGCAGATGAAGTAGCCACTTCAAACAGCCCGAAGAAAATTAGCTTATCTCTATTCAGCTGGGACCTGCTCCTGTACTCGTGCTCACACACACACACACACACACACATACACTGGAGAACCATAAAGACATGGACAAGCTTAAAACTACATGCATGAGATATAGGCCCATGAGTGCACTAGTTCAAAGACAAGAAAAGCGAAAGGGAACTAAAAACAATCCCACGCACAAAGGATCATGTGTGCACACACATGTTGGGTTCACTAGATTTGAAAGGAGGTGATGATGTTGGCTACAATTCAAATCCAGCCACTAAGCATCACATAAACTTGCTAATACAATCAGTCTGTTTTTTGCCATATTTCACAATGTCTGTGAAGGGATTTTAAAAATGGTCTTCAAAAGTGCAACAAAAATGTATCTTTGAAACTGATAATGAATTAAATCTTTAAATCAAAGGCAATGAATAACGTTTATTTATTTATTTTAGTTTTTTTTTTTTTTTATCCATTGAATGTTTTTTCAGCAAATAATAAAAAATAAACAAAAATACCTGTCCAAATTTTTTTATTATATATTTTAGGGGTGTCAAAATTAATTGTTTCTTCAATTCACTGTTTGTGTGTTTGCTGGACAGTATTTCATAGACAGTGTAGTACATCAGAACGCAGCTAGGAAAAAAATATAAGCTGTAAACTCTTTCTCTCTCTTTGTGACCGATTTGACCTGCTGGCATACGTTAGTGAGGTAACACTTTATCTCCTCTATCGGCTCTTACAACAATAACGTTACTTGTGGATGCAGACAGAGGGAGTTTCCTCCACTGCCATGTCACCATCTATAATGGATCAGCTGATCGCCGCGGCCATTTAACATCAGTGTCCGTGTCAGTGTTTGCTGAACAGCACCAGAGACGCAAACAGACCAATCGCAATTGAAGCCTTTGTTCAGCAAACAGACCAAAGACCTATCGCAGCCTTTTCTGTTGAGCGCGTGATCAATCATAGGCCTTTAAGAACTTGCTCAACAATGCTCAAAAAGCATGCGGGACACTTTACAATTGTTTATTTGCTGTAAATGCTTATGTTGTTCTGTGCATGTACTTGAGGTTTGTTTAATACATTTTGATCTAATAATCCTGGTTAAGTCTTTAAATGTCACTTTAAGCTGTATAGAAGTGTCTTGAAAAATATCTAGTCAAATATTATTTACTGTCATCATGGCAAAGAATAAAATAAAGCAGTTATTAAAAATGAGTTATTAAAACTATTATGATAACAAATGTGTTGAAAAAAACAGGTGGCGCAGTGGGTAGCACAGTCGCCTCATAGAAAGAGAGTCGCTGGTTCGAGCTCCGGCTGAGTCAGTTGGCATTTCTGTGTGGAGTTTGCATGTTCTCCCCGTGTTTGCGTGGGTTTGCTCCGGGTGCTCCTTTTCCCCCCACAAGTCCAAAGACATGCACTATACTGTAGGTGAATTAAATAAGCTAAATTGACCCTTCTTTTAAATGCAAAACAAAAACACTTTTGAAATGTAGTGTTTATTAACAAGCCATTTATAGACTCCAGATCCTTTTCAAAAAACCAGAAACTATCCCGAGAATCAATTTAAATCAATAAAAACTACAGAAATAGCAGCCAGGTAATCATCTTACATTTGATAATAAAAATAATTATAAAGCACAGAATTGGATGAGGATGTGAGGATGAATATTCTATAATGTGAAAATGTACAGAACACAGCTCTGTATGTTGGCAAGGCACTGATCATGGTAAGGCACTGATCTACTCACCTGGCGTGGACTCTGTGCTCTGAACGGTCTCTCCTGCAGACACCACTGACACGCTGTTAACTGGAGTTCCACCTGAGGATGCAGCAGTAGCTGACGGGACGGATGCAGATGCAGACACTGTGCTCATTCCTGGAGACGGAGCCCCACCGGCCTTCTTGGGTGCCACAACAACACTCCTGTGAAAACAATTAACAAGATTTTAAAAGTAGTCACGTCACAGATGTTTTCACAATGCATGACTATTTGGGATTGCATTCAGTCGCTGCTGTTCACACTGCAACATGGAACAGCGTTTTCATGACTTTACAACAGGAAGAATCGCAGACAATTTCTATCCGCAAACTACGTCTCACAACCAAACACATGCGAGAAGTGACATGAAAAAAATGCGAGGCCAGGTAGATTATCTTTGTTATTAACTATTGAGAAATAAATCTTCAGTAGGGTAGACAATCAACTTATTTTGCTGACTTTTGGCCTTCAAAGGGAATTAGCAATTTGTCCTCAACTTTTTTACTTTTTTGATCTGGTTGTGATATTGTTCAGATGACACGTCAAAGACACACGGGTGCTCCTGCTAAATTTCCACTAGTTTTTCCTCCATTTCTTGGGTCCAAATAGACTGAAAAGAAGCCCTTTTAACTTCTCCCCCAACCTCCTGCTGACCTGTAGATACCAATGCTCGTGGATCCTGCACTCTCATTGGCTGTAGGTGAATGCCGACGTTATTTTCAATCCTAAAACATTTTACATGGCATAATTTTATTCGCCAACATGTCAAGATATTAAGCAAATATCTCACATGTGTCGGCTATTCTGCTTCTCTGAATTTAAATTTATATATTTGACCTTTTTTTTTTTTTGTGATGCTTTTCCAACTACTGATATTTCTTCTCAGTTATTATTAAATAAATAGGTGCCATGTTAATATTTGACAGGACAAAAAAAGGAGACTTCAGAAGCCTTTTAAAAAAACTGTATTTGGTGGAGAAATACAGATTTGCAATCACAGTCAGCTTTACATTTTTATATATAAAGGGGGTAGTGGTGGTGGGGGGAGTCTTAAATTGCTTAAATCAATATATTTTTTACTTGAAATTTGCAAGAAATGGCACCAGACCAAATCAGATTATTTATTTTTACATAGCTATATACTGTTTCAAAAAAATTGAAAAGTACAGTCATAAAAGAAAATTATATTCTTTCTTTTTGTGCCGCTTTCAAGAATTATGATGTTTATATTAGATTGTCTTTTTTAATGCGTCTCACAAACAGCAGGAAAGCAGACTCTGATGCTCTAATAAATACACGGCGCTAGACAATCAAGTACTCCGTCAAAAAACCATTAGCTCTTGTTCCATCGTCGGCCCTGTAACGATCAGACTGATGATGTAGGCTAAATATGCTTCACATAATGTGATTTAGCATAAAAAGCCACTGAGCTCACACAACACAAGAAGCCCATTTACCGTGTTAGCGTAATTAGAGCCCTGTTTGCCTGACACAGAATATTCCATAATGGCCGCATCTATCTTGCAAACAATCAATGGTCTCCCAGCTCATGTCACTCACAGCTCCAAACTTTGTGATTGATTAAAGTTGGCGGCGTGCACTAGAAGCTACTGAGTGTTCCACTATAGAGTGCTATATCTTCTGATGATCTGATAAACAAGTGTTTGCGGTCAGATAAGGACTAAGGTGTCTTTAAAAAAATTGGTTTGTTGTGAAGCATTCATACTTAAATTCTTGAAATTTGTAGTAAAGTAAAATGTAAACGTTTTAACATTTTCACACACTGATTAGTATTTCTTTTACAATCTACTTTTTGATAGAAAAAAACTATTAATGGTCCATTAACAAAACACATTAAAATAAAAAATAAATAAATATCGATATCATTGCAATCACAATATCTCATGTTATTGCATATGTTTTACTTAGTCGAAATAGTCAACCCTCAATAATGTAAATCTCGCCTATGTGACCAAATGTTACACTGAGACAACAAAATTATGTCTATTGTTAGCCATTGGCTAATACACTGATAGATTCCATTTACCAGGTATTAAGTTAAAGGCTTAAAATAAGTTTAGCGAAGATATATTTTCACTCGCCTACTTATCAACACACTGGATAAATGCTTGAGAGTTTCATTACTTGGTGCATACACTGCTTGTGCTTTGGAAACTTTGACAAAAAAACTAAATAATGTGCAAGCATTATAAAGGTGCCATAGAATAAAAATCTGGATATACAGTTAAAGTCAGAATTATTAGCCGCCCTTGGATTTTTTTTTTCTTTTTAAAAAAAAATATATATCAAGTGTCTTGAAAAAATATCTAGTAATGTTTTTTTCTAGTAATTCCCTCATTCTCGTGTAAATCTTGCGAGTGGAACAAAACACTGACTGTGACTTTCCACACAGAATTATCAATATGCACAACCAGCAGCGTTTAAACGGAGATAGATTTTAATCCCTGCTTCTGTTTTTAAATACAATAAACTCATAAAACATAACTCAAAATGCATCCCTGTTAGTATCTTTTTTCACGTACAATTATATCTTATATTATATACTATATTTAATTCACAACATATAATGGAGCAGAAGCACTGGAGGAGCAGACATAGTTACCCATAGATAGCTCACTCGCTCTTAATGTCAATCTCAGATGTTAGGTTCACGTTACAGTAATTAGACAAGGCATCTACTTAGTTTATTAATTTTTTTTTATTTTTAGTTTGTTGATAGTAAGTATGATTATTCCGCACATGGGTATTTTAAAGTACGTGACTCTGTAAGAGCATTGTAGAAATGAGCCAATATAGTCAAGACCATCCCAAACACTGTAAAGTAGTCTGAACTTACAATCTATGGCTAATTTTGTAGGGATATTCGAGGGAAATGGCATGTCATACTGTATATTTTCTAGGGATATTTTAGGGAAATTTTATGTCAAATTTTTTTTAGGGACATTCTAGGGAAATCGCATGTCAAAGAAGACGGAGCTCTAGAACACATCCACCAATTACATAAAACCAATGGACCAACGACAGCTCAGGGGTGTTTAGGAGTCAAAACAAACTTCCCTAGTTAAATTTGCTTTGGTGAAACAAACTCAAAATGACATCATTTCAGTTCTTCCTTAAATTTATTTAAAGTATGCCAGGGCCTAACACTATAGTAAACATTTTATAAACAATATACATTTAAAGTTGAAAAGATAAAGGAAACACCAGATTTAATAATGTTCACAATGATGTCACAGCTTCACTGTCGCATCCTACATTGACTAGAGGTAAAAATGGAAATGGTTCATATCAGCTGAAAGCCATGACAGAGTTCTGGCCTTTCACAGTGGCGAGTGTTCAGTTTATCAGTGCTGACAGAGGGGGTAATGCTACGCAGTCACCAGCTCCTCTCCAGAATACATCCACAGAGACGATACAGACCGAGCGGCAGATAAGAGCCGTCTAGCAGACCTCTTCAAACATCCCACTGGAAGTCGCCTAGAAGAGAGTGTTCTCACACCATTTCTACACATCTGATGTGTCCTTAAGTTGAAAATAGCCAGTCCGAGTAAACCAAAGAGGAATTTGTAAAATGGAATGCTTGTAGTATCACGCATTGGCTGTACAGCCGTCCACTGTTCCAAAAACTGTATTAAAGCACATTTTTGCTCGCTCTCTCCATATCTCTCTCTCTCTCTCTCTCAAGTGCATGTTTAACACTGAGTGGTGGTGGACGGCTGTTTACGGAGGGGGGAATGAGCGGCTGCAGCATCCATCTGCTCAAAGGCGCAGGTTTTAAATTATTCAGCACACCATTAGCACACTTAGCCCCAGCTCACTAGCGCTGTCAATTAATCAGAGCTGCCAGGTGTACAGCACCAGACGAGAGGCCAGTGCTGACCAGCGTCCGTAGAGTTTGGATTCCAGACGCTGAATTATTTAGCAGTTTTAACCAACACTCCCGGAGACGACATGTAAACAGCATGTTTCCCGTAATCGGAGCAAATGTGAGATCAGGTGCGAGGAAATGTGTGTGAGAAACTGATTTTACTGGACGCTCATCGACATTTTGGGCTGATTTTCGATAAGGGCTGAGCAATCAGCTGCTTAACATTAAACACAGTAAGATCAAGGGCTGCACGATACTAGAAAATCTGACATTGCAATATTTTATTTTTCTGGGATAAATATTTTAATATAAATATACAGTTTTAGAAAATGCTATGAAGAGCTCTATTTGATGGTTTTCTGGGGAGTTTAACTTTATTCAGGAACAGAAAAATCCTAAACATTTAATAATCACAATGTAAAAAACAGACTTTTCTTACTTTGTTTTGCCTTGTTTTTGGTCCAAATATCAAAAAAAATTCTTATTAATATTCTTAATTAAAAATAGTTTAGTTTTAACCATCAGAAAAAAATTCGTGAAAATTACGAGCTTTTTGCTTTTTTTAAGAAAATTATCTGCTAATGATGTAAGTGAATTATTTATTTATTTATTTTTTTTTTTTTTTGCTTAAATCATATATATTATATATAAATACAGTAAATAAATACAATTCCGTAGCTACTGGTCAACTATATTTCAGACTTGACATTGCATATCTTTGCCGTGTGACTATTGTGGGGGTACATATTGTGATAATAATGCTGCAACGATATATTGTGCAGGCCTAGTAAGCTCTATACCATTTTTGTCGTTAGGGTAGAAAGAAGATACTAGAAATACCTGTTTTTTGTCTTTGATAAAACAGACAAAGCATTTAAATTACACTGCTTATTTGTGTCATATTTGATTATATATTGAAATTACATATCTTAGATATAAATAAATACGTAACCTAACTAACTAAATCAGAGATGCCCAAAGTTGGCCCATTGTAACCTTCAATTTGCCCTACCATCCCATCTTAGAAGAGAGTGAGAATGATGGAGAGGGTTGGTGTATTTTACTGCTGAGCCACAAAAAAAGCTTATTAAAATTAAATGTTTCGATTAAATGTTGTGAATGAATCAGATTTTTTAAAATGTAAATACTGTTACTCAACGGACAGAGGTCTATGCAGAATACATCAGTAAGCAATTCAAGGCAAAAATACTGTAACTCAATTATGTTATAAATGAGATTGTTTTTACTATGGTAAATTCATTATAAAATGTGAAA